TATATTCAGAATATAAATCAGTGCCTGCTTGTAAGAGACAAGGTGAAGGAAGATATGAAAGCCGCAAAAATACATCTTATTGAAGCTTTTTGTAAATGTGTTAGATCTTATGGCTCATTTGCTTTCTCATTATGAACTACTGATGCATACAATGTATAACTGCAAAATTAAAGTATAGATAGTTTAACTCAGTGCAAACTCAGTTTTGAAAGGACTAACACTGGGATCACATTAGGAGGCAGATTTGTTCAAATATTTTTAATAGACCCAACAAATACAAATATTTTTGATTGTATTGCTCCTTTTTGCCTTCAGAACTGCTTCAATTTTTTGAATCTAGAAACATTTGTCAGAGTCTTTGGTTCACATCAACATGATAGGATCACACAGGTGCTGCAGATTTGCCAGCTGCACATCTATGATCCCGTTCTACCACAACCCAAAGGTGCTCTTTTGGATTAAATCTGTAGATGCTGTGTGAGGGTAGTGAACTCACTGTCGTGTTCAAAGTCATTTAAATCACATTTCTTTCCCATTCTGATGCTTGGTTTGGACTTCAATTCAATTTTACTTATATAGCGCCAAATCACAACAACAGTCGCCTCAAGGCGCTTTATATTGTACAGTAGATGGTACAATAATAGATACAGAGAAAAACCCAACAAACAATGAATTCAATTCTGGATTTAACAGGAAGCCAATGAAGGGAAGTCGATACAGGATAAATATGCTCTCTCTTTCTTGTCCCTGTCAGGACTCTTGCTGCAGCATTTTGGATTAACTGAAGGCTTTTCAGTGAGTTTTTAGGACTTCTGATAATAATGGATTACAGTAGTAGGATATTTCTAATTTTAGAGATGTTGCGCAAATGGAAGAAAGCAGTCTTACATATTTGTTTAATATGTGCGCCCATCCAGGTCTTTATGTCTTTAAGACATTCCTGCAGTTTAACTAATTTGTGTGTGTTATCTGGGTTCATAGATAGATAGAGCTGTGTGTCATCTGCATAGCAGTAAAAATGTATACTATGTCTTCTAATGATACTGCCTAGGGGAAGCATGTATAATGTAAACAGAATTGGTCCTAATTCATTTGAAAGCATCAGGCTTTCAAATGAATTAAAAGTCTGTCTTGGTCTTTCGTTGATTAATAGGTTGTTGTGATAAATTGCTGCCACACCGCCCCCTCGGCTTGTGCTTTGAGATTTCTGGTAGTTAGAATGACTCGGGGGTGTTGATTCATTAAAACTAACATAATCATCCTGCTGCAACCAGGTTTCTGTAAGGCAGAGTAAATCGATTTGTTGATCAATTATTAAGTCATGTACTAACAGAGACTTGGAGGAGAGAGACCTAATATTTAATAATCCACATTTCATTGTTTTACTCTTTGGTTTAGATGGCGATACTGTATTGTTCTTTCTTTGTGATTTTTTATGTTTTTGGGGGTTTTTTGTTTTGTTTTTAAATCTTTATTTATGAGATTTTAAGTTCAGTTGTTTACTGCTAGTTTGTAGTGTGTTTTTTGTCTGTTTGGGAGCTGACGGAGTCACCAAGTCATCTTGGTCATACATTTGTCACATGGAGGCTACATATATCATGTAGTTTTAAAGTCAGTGTTGGTTAACGTGAAGTTGGACTTGAATTTCATTTGGTGATATTTTTAAAATTGTCTTGAAAGTCGTAAAACTAAGTTGTAAGAACGCTGGATAACAATTTGCTCTTAGGGTGATTAATGTTTGTGAATTCTACCCAAAGTGTGTTTGTGTCTGTGCAGGTGCGACTCAGCCAGCTAATGAGGCAACGGGAATGCCTGCTGAGGGAAAGCGAAGCAACAGTGGCGAGAAGGGAAACCATCGTCTTGCGCAAGGAGGCCATGATGAGAAACTCCCTCAAACAGGCTACACAGGGTGACCTGAGCCTCTCTATACAGGGCCTACAGCGTAAGATCCGGGAAGCACACAAGGTAAAAGAGGCTGACGGAACATTAATTCATTTGTGCTTGGAGCAGGTTGAGCATTTATCTTACATGCAGGATTTGTCTTCAGCAAGTGGTAGAGTATGAGCAGGTGATTGGGGAGCTACAAGAACAGAAGGAGAGTTTGAGAGACAGGATCGCGCAGAGGAAGACTCATCTCACAGAACTGTGCAGCACCAGTTACGTCCTCGACTCTGACTTTGTTAATCTTCAGGATACCAAAGAAAGGGTAAGGGTCACAGACTGTGAACGTGAATATGTGATTGTACTTTAAAATGGTTATTCTTCTGAATTGCACTGGGTTGCATGTACAGTGAGGGTGTGATCCACTTTTCATTGGCTTCTAATCTGATGCACTCTTCATTGTTAAAGCAACAACGATACCCGGTATGTGTCAATACAAATGTCTAATGAGAAGTGAAACTGTCACCATTGCACAACTTAATGAAGGTGTGGTGAGAATGCTTAACCTGTTTTTCTTTGGTTCACGTACACAGAACTTGCTCATCACAGTTTCCACTCCTGGAAAATACTCACACTTATCCGACCTATCAGGAATAAACTATAACTACTCATTGTTTGATTAATACATCATTACTCTGTCATTATCGCTCCCTCTCTCTAGAACCTAGGACACCTAGTGGCTCTGCAGAGTCGGGCCAAGAGGTTGCGTACAGTGTGTGAAGGCAGCTATCGAGCACTGTCCACCCCCGAATCCGTGGAAGCCGCCCTGCAGAGGCAGACGGAGCGATTGCATGCCATCAGCACCATCTTGCACCGCGTATGTGAGGAGTTCCCCCAACATCAGGGGGCGCTCCGCAGGCTGTCACGAGCAATGTCTGAAAATGCACAGGCTGTGGAATAGGAAACATCCCAAAGTCAGGAAAAGATGACGTGACAGTGCGCGCTGGAAGGACAATGCACAGGAATGACATGTGAGTGAAAAAAGGGAAAGCTTAGATAAGTAACAGCCAGGGAAGGATGACAGCTTGTTCATATTGACGTGTGGTTTCGTTGATGCACTGAAATGTTGTTTGTGAAAAAAATTTAAGAAATAAAAGGTAATGAAGTTTCTAATCTCAAAGTTAATTATGTGGCCCACTGAATTGTGTTAAAGTTGACCCCAAGGGCTTTTTAGACTGGCACATTTAAATTCCGGGTCTCCAAAAAGCCAGTTACAAAATACCTGAAAAGCAAAAAGATGTTTTTTGTTGTATTAGCTAATTATTGTGGAAAGTAAAAATCACAGTACTTTGCTGATCATTAAAATATGTCCTGAATTTACAAATTGATGACGATTCATCTGATAATCCATGACACACTGTTCTGCCCTACATAAGCTGCCTTTATAGGTTCAAAGTGTCTGCGTTGGTATTGGCAACATTTGCAGCATCGTACAGCAGTAACTTACAAACAGAAGGTTTGAACAGCAGATGGGTGAAGTGTCTGTGCTCACAAACTTCCATATATCCATATATCTACTCACACACAAAAACTGAAGCCTGGCAGGGATTAGTTTTGCATACACCATCCTCAGTCTTTGGCCATGTTTAACATGAGCATTCACCATTGTGTCACAAATATACAGTAATGTGCAAATATCTTAAAGCCACCAATTAGTTCTTTATGTTTTGCTATGAAAAATAGGTATTGTTAAAAGATACATAAGTAAATCTAAGTATATAAGGTATATAAGTCAAAGTTTATAGAGTTCTGATGGTGTTGAAACACAATATTTGGTGTGACCAGTTTTATTCTTCAGCTCAGCTTGAACGCTCTTAGATGAGATTTCTTTTAAGTAGACTTCAGTATTGTTCTCCAGGCTGTCCTGGTCACAAATCTAAACTTTTGATTACAGACAAACTGGTTTGAAAGCAAACTTACATCACTTACAGACTTACAGTAATGGCTCTCTGTTGTTTCCTGTATTCATAGTCTTATCTTCTATTGTTGAAAATGATTTTGTCACTGATGGATGGAGGATTTCTAACTATTTCTGAAGTCTTTGAGCTCTAAAACCCACAAAGAATTCAGATTGAGCAAGCTTGGAAACAGCTTCCGTTCACTGTGTCATAACAGTTGTATTTAGCTCATTCCCTTCTCTTCTTCATTAAACCTTTAACTTTACATTTACAGTTTTGCAGATATTTTGTCAAACATGTGTCCCACATTACATAATAATATTAATCTGAATATATAAATCTCTGTTGTGTATTTTTTTTTTCATTCTTCAGTTCTGCTTGCTTTCATACTGGAGAAATTGTAAAAGTGATATATACTTCAAACAGTGTTCAGTAACTCAAAAGCACTCAAGAAACAGTAAAAGTACACTCATCACCAGGGGAGTGAACTGCCTTGGTTCAGCTCAGTCCTGGAAGAAATTCTCGCATTTTGTTGTAGCAGTCAACTTCATCAGGCTAAGGCAGCCACGTTAATGCTTTCAGCGACGGTAAAGTGGAATCTTTAACACAATTCTGAAAAACCAGGGGTGATCAAGCCTTTTCACTCCCAAATTGTGGAATGATCTCCCTGCCCAGCCCCCTTGTTACCTCTTTTTTAAATCTTAATGAGAGTGGTGCACTCTTAGCTTTTATTTACAGTAGTATTTTTATCACTGTTGTTCTTGCTGATTTTTTGTGTAGTGTTTTGGTGATTTGTATAGCACTTTGTCAAAATTGTGTTTTTAAAAAAAAGTGCTTTATAACTAAACAGTATGTATCATAAAATATCACATAACTATTAGATTGGATTTCACTTAAAAATATTTATTTTAAAATAGCCTGATATTCCACAGTCACACCTTTTTATATAATATTTTTCATACTGCCATGGTAATGTGTTGATCAAATGATGTCATTTCTGTAAACGTGCCACTTTACACGGTACACATGCCCTAAAGTACACAAAACCCTATATTATCACTACTTGGTGCAACTTGACGCAAGCTTATTTTGGTTTTCTATTGTCAGTAGTACACATGCTTTGTTTTTTTTTCCTCATTCCTTATCAGTTGATGTCGAAGATCAGTTGAAGATGACACAAAAACGTAGTAGGAACAGAACTGTCACGTACCATCTGGAGTGACAGAGCAGAGAAAAGAACCAAAAGTCAGGTTAGCACCAGCCTTGTAATGTTGCAATGCTGCGAAACCTGCTGCTCAAATAGCAGACTCTTGCAAAGCACATGGAAACCCTTATAGTATTTCACCATCACACTGTTATAGCACAGCCTTAGCAAAACATGCAGCTGATACAGAGAATTCAATTTCCTTGTAAACGATGTGTCCGCTCAGACACACCCAACTGACACTAGCTAAACTAAAAGGGAGAAAGCTTTTACATGACCTGCAGTATAAGTGGTGATTTTATCCATGAATGTTTAAAGCAAGTACAGATGTGTGCACCCATCAGGTTAGCAGCACCTGAAGAACACGAGTCTCCTCATAACAATTTCAAGCAGTTTTGTTATTTAGCTTTTAATGCAGGAATTTATTTTATTCTGTTTTATCTTCTGGCAGCTTCTTTTTATTTTGCCACTTTACGTACTGAGCTACCAATGAGGACAAAATTACTAGCACGCCCCCCAATAACATTTTTGTCAAATCTTTCCTAAGTGCTTTTTTAATAGAGCAAGACATTTTCAACATAGCATTTCTAAACATGCTAGTTTTCTTTAGAAATGCATAGAGTGTTCAGATTTTCATCACAATAATAGATTTATTTCAGAAACATTACCATGGTCATTATTATTAGTCACGGAAAAACTGAGCTTTGTATCGAGCCATAATACAAACCACTGCTGTGCAATGATGTGCTTTTACTTTGTGGCACTCAGACTTTGTCAATCAAGTTAAAACTGAGGGTTATACACAGTATAAAAACTTCAGCATGGGTTTGAGTATACAGAGGACTTCAGTGTCTGCAAAGCGCTCAGGTCTTATGGCTGCAGAAAAAGCCCATATCATGAGCCCTGACGGTTGGTATATAAGGTGTTTGTTCTGATATGCTGTGTTTAGCTTCTGGCAAATGTGATTCTGTGGATTATTCCACTTGGTTTTGGTCTGTCCAAAGGACATTGTTTCAGAAGTCTTGTGTTTTTTTTCAAATGCAACTTTGCAAACCCAAGCCATGCTGCCGTGTATTTTGAGAAGAGGCTTTCTCCTGGCAACCTTTCCAGACAGTCTTTAATTGATCATTCTAGCTCTAATTGTACTGTCATTAACTTTAACACCTAACAGTTCACACTAATAATGATCAGTCCATCATGTCAATTTTATTAGCTCCTGACTGTTACTAATCCTTAATTCTTATAGAAGCAGTAAGAGTATGATTAGTTTTTCACAGGCCTGCTTCTGCATCACGGTGTGATATTTCATGGTGTATACTTCATCCTAGGTTGCATTTGCCGAATTTTAAGACGTGCTAAGGATCAGATTACATTCGGTGTACTATAACTGTTACCAACCCTGATTGGAGTGTTTGGTAGATTATCTCTCTACTGTCAAAGATAAAAAAAAGAAAATAAAACAAAATCAGAGACGGACAGCACGGTGGTTAGCACTGTTGCCGCACAGCAAGAAGGTCCTGAGTTCAATTCCAACATCAGGCCGGGGTCTTTCTGTGTGGAGTTTGCATGTTCTCCCCGTGTTTGCGTGGGTTCCCTCCGGGTACTCCGGCTTCCTCCCACCGTCCAAAGACATGCAGCTTGTGGGGATAGGTTAATTGGATAATCTAAATTGCCACTAGGTGTGAATGTGCGAATGAATGCGAATGGTTGTCTGTCCCTGTGTGTTGGCCCTGCGACAGACTGGCGACCTGTCCAGGGTGTACCCCGCCTCTCGCCCTATGACAGCTGGGATAGGCTCCAGCGCCCCCCGCGACCCTGAAAAGGAGAAGCGGAAGTGAATGGATGGATGGATGGAAAATCAGAGACCAGTCCTAACAAAGAACAACCTCAAAGACCACAAATCAGGATCTGTTAGAAAGAACACAAAATATTTATGGCAAAAAAAAAGTGAAGAAACAGCAGGAACTTGATTTTTTTCATAATGTCAAACAGAACTGAAATGAGGAAGCTTTATTTGAAGGTTATTTCTGTAACTCTGGATTTCAAAAAGGCAAATCACCTCTAAAAATACTTCCAGGAGGAAGAGATGGGGCATTATTTATCCACATGCCGCAACCTGACAGGCAATGAATGACCTAAAGCACAGAACATGCAAACATCCACATGCACATGCATCCAGTTTGATACAACTTTTCCAAGTATTACGCAAAATTTTCAAAATGTATAAAAAGATCATATTTTGATGATTACTATTTATGGAAACTTTCACGTTGGTAACACCAGACTGATTGGATTGATGCCACTGATCAAAGATATTTTCATGATTGTCACATTTCAGCAGCCAGTGTCTGTAAACAGTTAGCTGCAATGTTAGTGAACCTTAGAAAGATAGTGCTGCATAGCTACTGCTCATCACACTTGCAAACCTCACTGGAACTTCTTTTTCTCCAGAAAACCGTTGTTAATATGTAAACTGCAATTACTTGCTGTTAATGTGTATAGTTATTAACCCCAATCCCAACTCTAACCTTAACTCTATCCCAGGGAATCAGGGAACTTCTTTCAGATTGTTCTCTTGCGAATCAGGGAACAAATACAATAATGATTCTGACTGACACACATCAAGGACTATCAATTTTTTATTGGTCTAAAATGAGAGTTAATGTAAAATTAACACCCATAACCACTCAGCTGAATTCAATTCAGTTTTATTTGTATACCACTAAATCAATTCAATTTTATGTAGAGACCCTACAATAATAGATAAACATCAAAACACCATGAAAAATTCCTAATCTGAAATGATCTCACTACCATCCTTTTACACCTCGAAGCTGGCCGTGCTTTAGGAGGCTTTGTTGGTAATAATTACATTAGGATGCAAAAGTTTGGGCAACCTTGTTAATAGTCATTATTTTCCTGTATAAATCGTTGGTTGTTACAATAAAAAGTGTCAGTTAAATATATCATATAGGAGACACACACAGTGATATGAGAAGTGAAATGAAGTTTATTGGGTTTACAGAAAGTGTGCAATAATTGTTTAAACAAAATCAGGCAGGTGCATAAATTTGGGCACTGTTGTCATTTTATTGATTCCAAAACCTTTAGAACTAATTATTGGAACTTAAATTGGCTTGGTAAGCTCAGTGACCCCTGACCTACATACACACCTACATACCCAATAATGAGAAAGAGGATTTAATGGTGTCAATTGTAAGTTTCTCTCCTCTTTTAATTTTCTCTGAAGAGTAGCAACATGGGGGTCTCAAAACAACTCTCAAATGACCTGAAGACAAAGATTGTTTAGGGGAAGGATACAGAAAGCTGTCTCAGAAATTTAAGCTGTTTCCACAGTTAGGAACATGTTGAGAAAATGGGAGACCACAGGCTCAGTTCACGTTAAGGCTCGAAGTGGCAGACCAAGAAAAATCTCGGATAGACAGAAGCGACAAATGGTGAGAACAGTCAGTCAACCCACAGACCAGCACCAAAGACCTACAACATCACCTTGCAGCAGATGGAGTCACTGTGCATCGTTCTCATTTGGGCATAACAAGGGGCGTTATGCATGGAGGAAAAAGAACACAGCATTCCAAGAAAAACACCTGCTACCTACAGTAAAATATGGTGGTGGTTCCATCATGCTGTGGGGCTGTGTGGCCAGTGCAGGGACTGGGAATCTTGTCAAAGTTGAGGTACACATGGATTCCACTCAGTATCAGCAGATTCTGGAGACCAATGTCTGCGCCGGGGCTGGATCTTTCAACAAGACAACGACCCGAAACACTGCTCAAAATCCACTAAGGCATTCATGCAGAGGAACAAGTACAACGTTGTAACAACCAACAATTTATACAGGAAAATAATGACTATTAACAAGATTGCCCAAACTTTTGCATCCCACTGTATTAATGATTAGTTTCAAAATTACAAATGGCTTTATGGACAACCACATAGCCCATTTTTTTCTTTTCCTTCTTACAGTGAGAAATGTGGGAATTGGACAGAGGTTTTTTTCCTCCACATCTTCTTTTATTACACTTTTGTTTGTCTTGTATATTATTATGCATCTTCTAAGGGGAAATTCCTAGTATTGAGCCGTCCCCATGGTGTTGCGTGATGTGCGAGATAAACAAACTGTGCATTGTTGACAGAAGCCGGTTGGGTTACTGAACACTGGATCGTGTACTGTAGAGAGCAGGGCTTTTGAATTTTGCAGAAAGACAGGCAAGAGGATATTTTGTTAACTGTCTTGTCAAGGGGTAGTGAACTTGTGGACTGGACATCTGCGACACACTTATTTCTCGCTCACAATAAGAAGACTTAAATCCAGGGAAAACCAAGCTCATGTTATTCTCAAATGGCAAAGACTTGTCAAAGATTAAAACTATTGAAGGAACTGAAATTTTAATAAGATGGTCACATCTTCTAAGTATCTAGGGATCATTATAGATCAGAATTTGTCATTTAAAACTCACATTCAA